GCTACATCACCTTTTATATCTGACCTTGAAAAGAAGCCACAGACGCCTCGAACCGAGCTGTAATGTGATTCTTTTAATCCCACCGCTTGACCGGATCTCTCAGAGGAAGCGGCGACATCTATGATTAAAATCCCGCTTTGTAAGAAAAGTCCAGCCAGTTGCCATCGAGATCATTGTTTAATCACAGCGCTGCAGAATTGCATCTTGTCTCCTTCTGAGGTGTTCTTTGCATTGTTTGATATAATGGCTCTAATGTGCAAGGTCACGGTTTTTTCTCCCCCCTTCCTTTTGGGATTTCTACGTTATAAGAGAGAAGGAGAGACGGCGGCGACTCCGAAACAAGTCGGCGAGGGTTCGAAATGTCGAACTCGAAGCCTGGAATCCGTTCGGGGACCAAATGGGTTCGTCACGGCAACCGTTTGCAGTTCCTGGATGCCGTCATGACCACGCCTGACCCCCTCGGTGACAGCCGCCTCGGGTGCCTCCCGGGCCAAAAGCAAATGACTGAGGAAGTAGAGACGAGGACACGGTGTTTATGTAGTCCGGTCTGGGTGTTTATCCAAGTCATGCTCGGCTCTGGAAGTTCACCCTATTTTTGCTTCATTGTTCTGAGCACGACCGAGGAAGGTCGGATCAACAGCGCGAAAGCAGAGTTTCACTCGCACGGGTTTGAGGAGCCTCATAGAATTGGTAAATACGGAGGTGGTCGGCAAAAGACTAAATTGGCCGGCTCTCCTGGAGTTTTAACATCGATCCGTTCCAAATCTCTTGACTTTTTCTTACTTCAAAAAAGTACTTGAAAGAAGTTGTAAAGAAAACATAAATCTCTAGTTAATACTTGTTCAGCCTGCAGATGTGATCGCAATCACACACACAGACACACAGACCTTTAAGGCTTTAGAAAACAGAGTCATGTTTTTTAGCAAAATCTGGTCTTTATTCTCCCTCGGTGACACAATGAACAAGCAAATGAAGAACAAGCATGAATTCATAAAGAAAAGTCAACACGTCGTGTTGTTGAAGAGGCTTCTCAGTTCTGATCCAATGGAACGTGCACATGCACTTTTATAATGTTGTCATCTGACAGACATTTTAACTACTTTAAATGATTGTCTTTCCCTTTGTATTCAACAAACCTTTTTTCCATTTCTGACTTTGGGACTTGAGTGCGAAGACCCGAGACTTAGTCCCACCTCTGAGAAAATCCTGGCTTCTACAAATGCCTCAAAGCGCCGCACTTGAGTACAAGTTTACAGATTTTTGAGTGGCGAAGAGAAAAAAAAAAAAAGAAAAGTGAATTGTCCCCGTTAGCTCCGAGTGGCGGCACATAGCTGAGCAAACTGTCTGGTCCAATCACGGGAGCCGTCTGCCCCCGAGGTCAAACACGTCCACTGACCGCTGTTTGGACAGCGTTTTGCATCCGCTCGAGCGTGTGTTTGATTCTCTCTCGCTTCCCTTCAACCTGAGGCCGAATACGCAGGTGAGAGAAACCTCCCACTCACTGAAACCGAGAGCAGAAGTCGGGATCAGTGGGGACGCCGATTCAATAAACGCGTCCGTGCGCGTCTACGGACTTTTCATCTGGACGTCTCGATGGATCAGAGCCGGCGGTTTGAAATGGAAAAAAAAAACGTTTGCCAGCGGGCCGAGCGAGCAGATCCGCCGCATGTATCCGACCTCCAGATATTCTACGGAGATGCGGCGGTCGGGTGGACGGGGTCGGTGCGTCGGCCTGTAAATACGTTGACAGACTTCGGCCTCCGAGACGGTTACACAATCCAGTCTTATTCCATGCAGACACGTGGTGAATCCCCCCGTGACCGCGTTCAGACGGAAGCGGCCCCGCCATAGTGCTGACGTCGCAACAAAGCGGCGGCCCACACTTGGAGGGAGGCCCCCGGCGGCTGCAGTCGGGGGGGCGCCGCGCGCGAGGAAACTGCATTACAGCCGCTCCCTTCGGAGGACTTAAAAATGGAAACAGTGAAAGGCTTGTTTTTATTGCTGGTGCTTTGAGCCGGGTCTTTCCAAAAGCGCCGTCGACAGGCGGCGGCGGCGTGAACGTGTTGCTTTGTCTGGCGTTCTTAGACGCGTCCCACGTGGAGATGAAGAAGTCACGTGACACAGAAGGGGTATTCTGAAGTTACTATTAGTGAATGTGTGACGTTAACGGTGATCACACTGTAGTGTTGTCTGGAGGTAATGCAGACTTTGTAAATGGCGGAACACTTTGACTCTTTGTTTATTGACGAAGAAAAATCCACACAACTAAGAAGCATTTTTGCTTAAAAAAAACAAGCAGTAGAACGATGCATTAAATGTAACTGGTCTTGGATCTCTTTCACAAAAGGTGTTCTATCAACGTGGAAGGTTTAAATACGCCGGTTGGGACCAGACCAGACGATTCGCGGCCCAGACCGTTTAAAATTATTTATTTTTTATTTTTAGGCCATTCTTGGATTTGTCTCATGCTCGTTTAGCGCTCGCTGTGCCAAAATGCGCCTGCGTGAGCACCAAGCAGCAGGGGCGCATTTCACCATTTGCTACCGTTTAGAGGATTACATGGTTACTTTTACTCCTTTTTGCACAGGTTTTACTCTCTTGGATTTAGCCTTTATCGTAAATACAACTTGCACAGAGCACCTTCAAAAGAGAAGTATGTTTTAATGCGGCTTTTGACTAATTAAGAGGTTTGGCATCCTTTCACTCGGAGCTGGTTGCTCATCCAAACTCCTCTCCATCTTGTTGCCAAAAATGTGATTAAGCGTCTCCGGTAACAGACCAAAACGAGCACGAGCAGCTTTTTCAAATGTCCATTTGGAAGCACAGTGGTAATTTTCACAGTTGCCATGTCGTTATTGTCGCTGATGCACAATCAATCAAAAGATCTCTCACCCAGTGTGTTTCACACCATTCAACCCCCACGTGCTGCCAATCCCCTGAACATTAACTGGCATCTACTGTCGGCGAGACCACGAGACGAGCTGCCATCAAAAAAACACCCTGTTTGCCGATTGGAGATTAAGCTCCAAACCATTATATCACCGTTCCGTCCGAATGCTGCGTGTATCCGGGAGATACGATCGGGCCGACCGTCCCGGTGTGTACGAACACACAGACAAAATTTGTTTTAGTGGTGTAATGAGATGTAAATGTGATTTAGTTGGCAGCCCGGCCGGCTCCATGGCAACCGACGCGATAGTCCTCCTGAAGGTATCGGATTGCAGGTGTGAAAACAAGACGTGTTAAGAACAGAATCCGATAGCACGCACAATAATTGGGATTAAATCACTTCGGTGTGGTGTCCTCAACGAGAACGCGATAACTCTGCTGTTCGTTACGTTTAGTAGCTGCAGGCCACCGGCTGACATGAAGACAGCCTCTCTGGCCTACGGAGAGCGCCGCTCTTTACCGCCTTGACGTCCACCGCGCGTCTGCTGGGCGCAGCGGCGAATGAAACGCGTCTCAGGCCGCGTCATCTGAGCGCGTTGAGCTTTTGTGCACATTTATTCAGAGCTCTCAGAATTGCCCGGTCGGAGGAATCAACGGCCTTTGGGCGATTGCGATCTACGTCCCAGGCAGCCCATTTCTATATTGTAAAACCCTTATCATCATCTAATGAATAATTGTCCTCATCTTATAATACGTGCAGAAAAGGCCGGGGGGGCCGTGGACGCGAATAGGGGGCCGAGGAAGCGCGCTTGTGTTTATGCTTCCTCCCATTAGCATAAGACACGAAAGCGCAGCAGCAGACGCGAGGATTATGAGGCCTGTTCTCACCACGGGGGGGGGAAATCACTTTGGACAAGGCGCCGCCTGACACAGCGTGAGACCACGGCGACGCGTCACGCCGGCTCAACGCGTCCCAGCCTCTCCGGCCTCTCCAAACTCCCCCCACTCCCCCCCACGCTAGTGTTTGCATTCCGCCCCAAACAACCCCCGCTTCGTTTCGAGGCGGCTGTTTCCCCGCCGCCGTCTGGTGTTCTGTGATTAGTCATAACAGTGAATGGCCGCGACCGCTCATCTGTCCATAAACACTGGTCGTTATCGGCGCACTACATCTCTGCGCCGCCTCGGGGCTTCTCCCTTCATCAGCCGCTCCCGTCTTTTCCCTCGGCTTCTTCAGCTCAAGATCTTTCTCTGCCGGCGGTTCAAAAGGCCGTTCTCTTCACCCGGCGAAGGCACAAACAGCGGGCGTGTTGGGAGTGTTTTTTTCTTATTTTGTATTAGCGGGCAAGGCCTGGGTTAAGAGATACCTAAACGGCTGCAGCTCCAGCAAGGTGCTCTTCTGGATATTTGCATTTAAACATGAGGTGTGCCTGCTGCGGGAAATATGACTGAGTGCTGCAGCACTCTTGGATAATGGTCTCAGGCGGCGGCGGGCGGGTGGTGGTGGTGGTGGTGGTGGGGGGGGGTTGACCGTAGACGCGTGGGCTGCATTGTGTGCATTGGGGGTTACGGGTCCGTAGAGGTTGAGGACCGTAATTTGCATCGTGAGGACTCAAACGTCTATCATCTCCATGTAGGAAGCACATTGGGACGGATGCAGCATGCATCCCCCTTTTGTGAGACACCCAACCCCTAATTGCTCCCCGGGCAAAATGTAAAAGCATGGGATAAAAATGCTTTGGATAACATGACATGTAATGTAATGTTGTCCTTCAGCTCACATTCCCACGAGAAATGATGTGTTTTCACAAACAAAAATATCCCCATCCTTCCCAAACCTTCAAAGGAGCGCGTTGACTTTCAGGGGGACGATTCTTATGTCTCTAGTGCGACTGGGACACTTATGCTTTGCTTATTTATAACAGGCCGCCAACCACACTTGTTGCTGTTTGAATATATGGAGTGAGTTCCTGTGGGCGCTTCAGGATGATTTGTTCCATTCAGACACAATGTTTCGAGGATGACTTGAAGACAGCACACTGCTCACCTTTGTTGACCTTTTTCTTCCCCCCCTCCCTTTCTTTCCAACAGTGGCCATGGCTGTTAACCATGAAGCAGGCGCCAGACACGCCCGTCGCTTCCTCCCGTCAAAAAGAGCCTCTCCGGTGCTCCACTGAACGCACACACACACTCTCCGAGCATGCCACCCAAGTGCGAGGAGGCCCGACGGACTGCCTAACACCTGCTGTAAGTGCTCACACACACACACACACACACACGCTCATTTCGCGCTCATGTCGCCGATCGCGGGCGCCGCCGTCGTCGTCGTAGAGCTCTTGTGAATGGTGTGTTCTTTTTTTAAAGTGACCGTAAATTCTGATCTCCTCAGGTAAGTTTTCCTTCAGATGCATTGTGGGTCCACTGGTCTCTTTTTCCTTTTAAAGGTGCAAATGATGAACCCTCTCCTGTGATGCTTTCCTCTGGCTTGGTTCGTATCAGAGGCCATCAGATCAGGCGTCACACTGTCATGCCAGACTATCTCTGCAGACAAATAGGACGTTGTGTATATCAGAGGGCCTGCACTTATCAACTACCTCACTTCTCTGAGTGTGCATGGATATCATCAGCAGACAAGTCATGTACGCACGCACGCACGCCGTCAAGAGCTTTCCCTCTTCATAGCAAGACTGTCCAGAGCCGTGTGTGAAACGGAGAGAGTTTGTGTGTCTAAGTGGCTGCATATTTGTCCGTCTACTACTTTTTAGTGTGCGATTGCTCTCATCACCCCCCCTCCCTCCCCCCCCCAAAGCACTGTCGTCTCAGTTCGGTGTCGAGTCGGCCAAATCCTTGGCACAAGATTAACAGGGGAGGTCAGCGGGGTCGCCGACGAGGGCGAGAGTAGTGGGAGCAGTCGCCCCAATTATGAAGCGCGCGCTCACCCTGGCGGGCTCGTGACAACAGAGGCACATACACGTTCATAACTTGTCAGCTTATACATATGCAGCACAGCGCCAAACATCATCCATTAGCTGCAACGGGGGACTGAGCGTGCTGCTGGAGGTGTCAAATGTGCATGAGGGAGTGGAGGTCGGTGTCCCGGAATCCTCCAGGCAATTAATGCGATCATTTGCAGGGCCAAGCACCGGGATGCACACGTCAAAACCTCCCCCTTGGATTTTCTAGGTGGACTAATTTACAGGTACGTTGGTTATGGATTGGAGCTGTCGGGAAGCCGACGGCAGGCCGTACGTTGAGTATTGTCCGCAGTGATGTATGGTGCTACTTTTACCAGTGGAAGAGACTGATGCCAAAGCTTCTTTTCTGTTCTTCTAATTGCATTGTGATACTAATCTAAGTTGTGATTCGGTGTTTGATTAAATTGCACTCAGCTCTCCACGAGAGTCGTTGCTTTTGGTGAAATTTGTTTGATCTGAGGTCTCAATTTCAATTTGTGCGATACAAGCGTTGCCTTTCGGGAACTCGAACGTCATTTCTACACACGCGACACCACTTTTCGTGCGCAGAGTGAGACGTTTCTGCCACGTGAATTCAAACCATTCAATTAACTTTTGCTGTTTGTCAGATGTCCTTTAGGCTGCAGTCTGCTATCGAGTGAAACGTTGATTCGTGCGCGAGGAGAAGAGATGACGGGGCGCGAGGGTTGCGGGGGCTGCTGCTCAGACACATTCGGTCGGTGGGGAAGCGGTATTGATCGCACCTAAAGTGAGAAGATTGAGGAGGCGCGCCTTGACGCGTTATCCCATACAAATACAAATGCAAGCAGAGCCCACGGACTCCTGGGGTCACGAGTCCGACGAATCGGACGGCCCGAGCCGAGCCGAGCCGATGCTTCACAGCGCTGCGTTAACGTAAGGGACCGACAGCCACGTTTGATTCGAGAGGAGGAAAGAAAACAGGCCTCGTGCACGTTCCCGAAACCAAATCAAATTCAGATTCGGTTGCGCTTAATTCCCCGGGCGAGGCATGAAGCCCATGTAGCCTCTCTCCCTCCTACGATCATCCGTCAGCTGAAATTGCTTTCTTCAAACATCAGGCTGTCAACGAAAAAGTAACAAATGTGGCCACGCAGAGCGCCGCATGATTACAGCGTTAATGACGACCCCCCCCTCCAGGTCTGCGGGTTTGTGACCCCAGAGCGGCTCGTCGGAAGGAGCGGCATTAGGCGAAGGGAATGCCTCGTTCCCACCGCAGGTGCCTTCCGTCAGGCGCCGCCACACTGTCTGTTATGATCATTGCGAGAGCGCGCGGCGTTTAGCTGAAAGTCTAATGTCATTTTGACCGTAACGTTGGGAGTTATGCGTTATGCGTTTGCATCACCTTGATTTTCTGGCGGGTCTGTGTGACCTCTGCTCGGAAAAAAAAAATAAAATGATTGGCCAACAGTTAGCGGCTCTTTCCAGCGACGCGTTCGCTCTGATTAATGTTGTGAAAATCCATCACCACCATCTTCCAGGAAATTGCACAGGGGTTTCCAGAGGTCCAATCGAGATTTGGAGTGAGGACGGCAATTAGGATTTATGGGAAGCAAAAGCGATAAAGGAAAAAAACGGGATGAGTATTTTGAGTTTGATGCAAGGGAAGGCACATAATAAATAAGTGAATAAGAGTAATGAAATGGTGGTGGGAAAATAGTTCGACACGCTCCAGCGATCTCGGGTTTCCTCCGTCCCGCCGAATGGGAGAAACCTTCCTGCGTGTCGCCCGTAGGTCTCTGTTCCACGTGCCGCACAGCCAATTACCCGCGAAAATGAAAGGAAGAACGCTGGCTACTGGCGATTAACACGCAGCTAATGATAAGCACCTGCTTGATTGAGAAGCTGAGACGTGGACGCGCATGGAAAGACAAATGTTCAACGTATAGCAAAATCATTTCCGTAATTAAGCGCCGTGCTTTATCTGTACTGTAATTATCTCTTTTTGTATTGAAGTGTTTAATCGAAACCACATTTTTGCCGTCACCTCACGCCGTCCCGGCATTGCTCCTCGCAGAGAGGGACTCAAAGGCTGCTTTAATGCTGGAGCGTGGGGAGCGCAGTGGCTGTCGTAGCAGAAGGAGACATCTTCTGTGGTTCCTATGCGGACGCTGAGTTATTGAGAAGGAGGTCCGTGCAGCGGCCAGCTTTACCCGCTTCTTGATCGCGGTTGTTTCAATGCCGCCGTGGATTCAGGTCTGCAGTCAGAAGATGTTTCATGCACTTTGCCTTTTAAAAAGTCCTTCACCCTGAAGACCGGGGCTCAGCTTATGTCCACTGGTGGCAGCGAGACGGAAACAAGTGGCCGAGAGGCATGTTGCTACTTGATAAGCGAGATGTGACAGCCGACTCGGCTCAGCCTCCGGTGGCTTTGCCTGTATAAACTAATAACGCAATGATGTGCAAATATATTCTGTTATCTTTGTTCTGCATACAATTCAATCATTGCTATTTACTACCTACATTTTTCTATCGGCTCCTCGTCAGAACGCGGGAGGCAATTGGGAATTTATGCGCATGCATAACGTCTTTCATATCGGCAGCACGGGTTCCGCTGACATGGTGATGTATTTCAGTCACGTTGGGATTTTGAATGAGCAGGTTGTTCCGGTGGCGATAGGATCGAGTCGAGCAGACGGTTGTGCGTGTTTTTTTGTGTTACCGCCCGCGAGGACCATCTGACCCCGCTGCAGGTGATCTGCGCGACTTGTTTTGTGATTAAGTTGTTAATGTCAACGAATCCAGCGCCTCTCTTCCGCCTCGTGAGGCACGTGTGCGGTCGTTTGCCGTTCGCTCCGCCGGACGGAGGCCGCTGTTCATCGTCTTGTCACACGTCCACTCGCTCGACAATTAGGGAATGCGAATGACTCAAAGGCCCGGGCCAGGAATAGCTGCCCCCGAGGCGCCGCTCACTTCCTGACCCTCCAGTCCTCCCAGTTTGCATTGCAACAGAATCAGAAGACACGAGTCCCGGCAACCACCAATTAAGGCCTCGTGTCTTTCAAATGAGGGCGATTTAATCAAAGCTCTGAGAATAATGAGCCAAAGTAAACAGTAATTACTGGATCCAAGTCATTGATTCTGTCCGACTGGCCGTGTGGGACTTCTAGGCAAGGGAATATCTCCAAACATTCACTTGTTAGCGACACGTGACCTCGTTGCCTTGGAGTACGCGGTGCCAGTATCGGCAGTGTGAATTATCCACGTTCAATAGAAAAGACACATGAGAGCGACAGCAACAGCATAAAGACAGCAACACGAAACTGAAGGCATCCAATGTCAGACCAAATATCTGGAATACCTTTGTTCTGGCTCCCGGGTTGGTAAAATGTCTCCTATCCATCACCGCGACCTCCACACCCTTATTTTCCAACCGCGCTCAGTATGCGAAACAATGCGTCTTACTCAATGTCGGCATGAAACATAAATCATGGAGGTGCGTAATCATTGAATATGTACATAATTCCTGGGTGGCCTCAAGATTTAGAACTAACCCCGCTCCTCCATCTCCGTCTCATATACAACTATGAAGTTGAGACGGACAGTTTTTACTTTGCACACCAGCCGGATTCTGGCAGGATCGAGACGTTACATCACAACTGGAGCGTATTCATCGTTACGGGAAGACTGACTCTTTTCCTGACCGGCCTCCCCAGGAGTGAAGGTGACCGCCCATTTCCCAAAATGTTCCCTACTCGGACTCCTTAAATGGCTCCGTACGTAACAAATCATCTGATGCGTCAGGATAACGGAGCCCGAGCGTCTCAAGCGGAATCCTTTTTCTGCGCTTAATGCAGCAGCCGCTGAACTGCGGCTAAGAAGCTGCGGCCTGCGAAAGCTCCGCCGGGGACAAAGTGCTCGAGTCCGTCCGCAGATCCGCTTGTTTTAATCAAAGCTGTATTGATATTGATCAAATACTGCACATCTTTGGTATTTGAGTATGTAACTTGTTTGTTGATTTCCCCGGAGTCCACCTGGACAAAGTCTCATGAAATGTCTCGTGTTCGCTGAAGACTCTAGAATGGCCTCATCTAAGAACTGCACAGCGGACGCTCGTTCTGCAGGGGGGGGGGGGGGGGGGCTTGTAAATGGCGGATGGTCGTTACCGGAGGGATAATACGGGGGACACAGCTGCTCACATCGTTAGCGTTCATCACTGCTGTTATCATTCGAATATATAGTCTCATTAAAGCCACACATTACCTCCGAGTGCACACACTTTATCCACTTTATCCACAGTACATTATCCCCGCG